ACGACGCCGAGGACGACGCCTAGTCAAAAATGAATTTATATTTTACCAGCGAAAATCGCGATTGCCTAGATCTGTTTGGTGCGCCAATGGCTGTGAAAACGTACTCAAGCTAAATATGCAATGACAGCGTTCAATTCCAAATGGAAATACGAAAAATTAGCCGTCGTGGTCCACATTCAGTAGACGACGCAGAATTTGGTCATTTCACGTTGTTATTTGCAGAGGACGGCAAAGAAATGTACAAAGTTTTATAACGCCCGTGCACAGCTATTGTTTTGCTCATTAAACCTTTTGTTCAGTGACGTTCTCGTTGCCGTCGTCGTCGTGGTTTGCTTAAGCTCCCTATTGAATCCAACCGCGCGAAAACTGGTACGATCAGTAACTGAGCTACCAGGCCACTTCATAAATACGCGATCATTTAGAGAAGGTGTTATATTGTTTTGTTTTTTTTTTCCGCAATAATACTTATTTTATTTTGAAACTGTAAAGGGCTATTCGCAAACTTTTAATCATTACGGCAGGGTGATGACGACAAATGATTTTACTTGGGGATTCCAAGTATGACGCTCTTCTAGAGTAAGCTTTTTTATTCCTTTGCCTCTTCTTGTCTTAAGGAAAGTTCAGGTGGATTTACAAAAGTAGCAGCACCTTCTATTATAGAATACGCGCAAGCTATGGTGAATGTCATACAGAAAATGGCATGGCAGACTCTTAGCTTAGTGGTGTCGGCCACATACGAGGGACATGTGTTCGCCAATGCTGTTAAACAGCTAGCTTGGGAGAAAAAATGGCGTGTTTTCATAACGTTGTGGATTCAGGGCGACGAAACTGTCGAAGAACTATCGATGGGACTGCGAAATGTTACTCGAGCAAAATCCGATGTTGTCATCGGGCACATTCGGGAGCTCGAGAGGTTTAACGACGACATATTTCGGACCATCCAAGACTTGCAAGGCTTTGACGACAGCAGTGCTTGGCTGGTTAGTGACGTCACTACGAGCGGGATACTGGATCTGAACTTGATTCCAGCCGGGCTGATTCAGGTCAGCGGCAAATCACCCGAGATAGGCCACGATTATGGGTTGTACGTCAATGTGTTATTCGATTCCTTTGTCATGATTGAAAGTGCTTTTAAAAGTTCTGTTGCAGAACTAAACGACGATTTAAGACGAGATAATTCCTCTGCTGAGAAGAACAAACTTCTGCAGGGACTGGCTGTCAAGTAAGTTAACACTCGTTCCATGGCCACTACCCTAGTGTTTCGTTCAATGCTTGTCTCTATGATCAAGTGTATGTATGATTCGTTATGCGAACGATACCTACCACCCCTCATTTCCTCCTCGTAGGATTGTAATCCTTTTAATCACACTAGCAATTGCAATTAAAAAGGATACATTTATTATTTGAAATAATTGAACTACTTCAAAATTGCTGGACTGGGTAGATAACGAACCACCTGATTACAAATTTCAATAGAACCAAAATTTTGCATCCCTGTACAACATTTTGGAAAAGTAATAAACTATAATAACAAAACTCATTGCTTTGATTGAAATTATTCGGCAAAACGCTTATTAGCTCCTTGTTATAGAATAAAATGAGTATTAGCGACCTTATAGGCAATGTGGCCGGTCAATCATTTTGCTCTCAACGTTTTCATACAGGTACTTAAAGGAAGCTCAATTTGAGGGGAAAAGCTCGTTGTTCAGAGATCATTTCTTGTCCGACCAACCCCACACAGTCTTTAACATCTGGAATCTTAGAAGGGATCTCGATGGTAGAAAACATTGGTTTCAGAGTGGGCTCATCACACCTTCTGGAATCGCTTTAGAGTCCATTGTGGACCTCAGTGGAGGTACCGTGTTTCCGCTCCTTCATCCAATGCGCCCAACCCTGAGAGTCCCTGTCGTTCTGTGGCCCCCACTCGTGCAGGCAGAGGATCCAGCGGTTGCAGAAAACCACCAGACTTGCGTTGGAAGGGCACTGCCTTGTTATAAGTACACCAATGTAGAAAATTCCACATGGAGCACAAAACAACTACTTTGTTGTTACGGAGCGTCAATAGATTTTTTGAAGTTTCTGCAAAGAGATCTTGGATTTGATACGGAGATTTATATCACTCCGGATGGGCAATACGGGAAGTTGAACGTCGTCAATGGCACGTGGAATGGCATTATAAATGAAATTATTTCCGGTAAAGCAGATTTGGCGCTTGATTTGGCTGGGAGCCTGGAACGTGCCAAGGCCGTCGACATGTTGTATCCCTGTATCGCGTCGGCGATGAATATTTTAGTGCAGAAACAGCAAAATTACGGAGAACAAGGTTTGTGCAATAGAATACAACAATTTCGATTATGTGTGGTTCACCAAAACAAAAGTGATTACTCTGGCCAATCACCAGGGACCCAGACAATCCAGAGAAGAACTCAAAACTCGAAGAAAATACACGTAGCTTACGCGAAGCGCGGGAAAACATGTGCGAACAAGTCACGACCGGGTTTGGTTTTACTTCTGATTGGATGACAAAATGGCGCAAATCTTTTTAAGCCAATCATATTGCGTAGTATTGCAAAATCAAAGCAAATGCGAATTATTTTCGACACTCGAGTGAAAACCGCTCAAAGATGAATGTTGACTTAATAAATCCTGTCTACCCTGGGAGAGGGGTAGAGTTGACCCTTAAGGATTTCAGCGTAATCGTTCAGTTTCTTCCCCGCCGCGCACGCTCGAAGCACGACTTAGCTTGTCATTGCATCATGAATTGTATGCACACTAAGCATCCACACAATCGATCAAGGTAATCATCACTAGATCATTTAAATTCTGTTAGAACTATTATTTCTTTAGAGCGGTTTTTAATAACGAAGTGCGCGAAGTCTAAAAATAGAATGCAAATTATTGGAACCCCGCGAGAGTCAGACAACATAAGCGTAATCTGAGAGAAATAGGAAGAAAATGAACGCCAATTTTTTTGTTTTAAAATTTGTTTTCGGAACACTTGCTTACGCGCTTGAAAAAGTGTCAAATCTCCCACCATTCCGTTTTGTTTGTCTGAGTTTGTCTGAGTTATGACGTCGCTCACGCGCTTCGCTATTGAATGTCGAAAGTAATCAGGCAATTACTTTGGTCTTGGTTTTTTGGTTTTACTGCGGTTTGAGATTAGCTGAGTGGTCTACTTAGTAAGTACTTGGTTTGGTTGTAGTTTTACGATACTCAATAGACCATTTTCGAGTTGCCCTTTGCATTTGTGTCAAAACGAGGAGAAACCATTGTTACTAAAATGCGTTTAGTCTATAAGTTCATTTTCGTGCAAATCAAACTAATTTTCATAAGAAAAGTTTTGTACGACAACTCGTCTTGAAACAGAAGCAAAAGGCAAAATGGAAATGGCATATTTTAAACCATTTTATTACAGTCATCGCAACATTTCACTGTTTACATCACGTTTCTACTCCCTTTTCCAGTCAGCGTCTGGTACTCCTGGCTCAAACCCTTCGAATATGATCTGTGGATTGCTATCTTGGTGACGTGCAACTTAGTACTGTTCATTGTTTGGTGGTTGGATAGGAAGAGTCCTAAAGGATATTATCACATTCTTAAGGATAGTGACGAGGACGCTTTTACTTTGCTAGGTAAATATAGATACCTTTTTGATGACTGTAAGAGCGTTCTGTTTGGTTTCGTCGATATAGCCTAGCAACTAATATTCCATGAGTGGAAAACTCGCACTGAATAGATAATGTCAAGGAAATGTTTTTTTCTTTTTTGCCTCCTTTGTTTCCAAGTTGCGTTCTTTTCCGTTTATTTATTTATTTATTTATTTATTTATTTTTTCATTTGCAACAACCCTACCACGTACGTTTACTCTACATAGCTTACTTGCAGGAAACCATTAACACTTCTAACTTAGAGAACATTCCTTACTTGCAATAAGTCAGTTAGTTACAGTACAATATATTCTCAATATATATATATATTCTTTCTCACAATGTACAATATAGTGCATTGACTACTTGCAACACGCGACATTTCCTATTTGCAAACGTACACCACTGACAATTGCAGAACAAACCAACTGGCGAACAGCACCTATGCTATATTAATTTACTGCTACATAAAATCCTTCCACGGATATTACAGGGTGGCGAAAAGATATGAATTTTATGTTCGAGGGGAAAAACGCTCCGGTCCGTATCAGTAGTTTTATCTTTACGTATGGTGACATATTTTTTTATACATATATTTTTTTTTTCTCGCACGGAGGCGACAAAAACAGCCGAGCAAATTGATGTTTTTATGCTTTTTTTTTTTTTAGCGCAGATGAATAGAAAATACTTGCCCATATACTTTAATGAATAAAAATACAAATCTGCCTGCAAGCTTTCTCTGGACTTCATGACCTCCTGAATAGCAAGAGCCAGTAAGCTCCAGGAATAACTTGATTTCACAAAATAATCGTTTTCTCTCCCTTCAGACGCCATGAGTTATGTCTGGGGCGTGGCCTTCAGTAAAGACATAGGCGCAGAGAAGACTCCACGCAGCAACAGCGCCCGCGTTGTGTCAGTGGCTTACGCGTTACTGGCTTTAATCATGGTGAATACGTACTGCGCTAATCTGATGGCGTTCTTACTTCAGGAGTCTTATATACTGCCCATCAGTGGAGTGAAGGATGTGAAGGTCGGTTAAGTTTATAGCAAGGACCTTATACACTTGCTTAAGGACGTACGGGCCCAAAAAATTCCCACGAACAGATTTTCCTAAAAACTTGCCATACAGTAGGGTAAAGATTGACTTTTGCCAAAAAGCTAAAAACAAAATTAGGGGGGTAGGGGGGAAGGGTGGCTACCGAGCTCGCTGTTTTCGAAATAAGGCAAATTGAAGACCGTGTGTTTTTAGAGGCTTTTGTCATTTTAAGAGGATCTTAGCGCACGAGTATACATACATACATACATCCTTTATTATCTTTCCCCATGGGGGCTTTTCGAAGAAAAGAGCTAACGGCTATGGTACTAGTAGATATGAGCAAAGCCTTCGCCAGCATCAGTCACGAAAACCTAATATCAAAGTTGCTGGACGTCGGTGCCTCTTACCCTTGTCTACAGAATCAAAAGAAGCTACAGTAGTAAAATTTATTTAGATCAGGTAAACGTAATCAGTTCAACACAAACAAGTATAATACGTAAACTTTTGCAGCTGCTGTCGTTCCTTGAGGTAACCTTACCCGTCCACATTCAAAGAAAACGTCGGTTGCGCGAGAGCAGAAAAGGCGAAATATTTGGAACTTTTCGCGTACATAGTTTTTCTGTTTTGTTTTTTGTTTGTTTGTTTCCTTTTTTTTTTTTTGGTTAAAATGGGGAAAATCAGTAAAGGAAGTGATCTCTGAAAAGAAAAAAGGGAGTCACCGACCATTTACGAGAGTATGTAAATTGCGGGTGAGGTTATGGCAAGCGATGCTATGCCTATACTTGCTTGTATATATTTCTGCGCGAACGTCCTGAAAAGCAAAATACAGAGATATCGCCAAAAAAATTCGTCTAAAATACTTATTTAATGAGCAGCACGAGGGCCCGATACAGGTGTGAACTTGAAATAGTGTAGAAATCAACTGTTCCAGTCCATAACAATGATGAATATTGTTGAAAACATGAACCAATGTGCTCGACGGCTAATTGTTTTACCTTTTGAAATGGGAATTGGTTTGAATATTCTGATATCGATATCGACACTTAATGGATCAAGGTAATAAGTGAATAACAATTTTTAAGTTTTCTACGCATATAAGTCATGAAAGGCTAAATGTAATTATTATTTTTCAAAAAACTACTCGATTCTGATTGGCTAACAGTAGTGCAGTTCAAGTGCGCCATCAGCGTAAAACGTTACCTACCTCAATTGGGGAACAACATTTTTGACGCACAAGGAACGTTTAAACTACAAAACGAGGTTAAAGTTGTCATATTTAAGTTTGTTTCATTCTCTCTAACAGTTAACTCTCAACCCACCTGATGGCTTTAAACTCGGAATAACACGTGGAAGTAACGAAGAAGCATACTTCAAGAATCACGTGGAAGATTTATTCAGGAAAATATACCTGGTTAACCTGAAAATACACCTGGTGAATGGCTTCCAGGATGGAATGCAACAACTGGTAGATAAGTAAGCAGAGATATACACTTCCACTCCCGGAACCTTTAGCTCGCCGCACTGCTTGTACTGCGAGATATATGACGAGTAGATTTTCCCAAACCTAGTGCTTATGCACAACTCTTGTACTCTTGTGCCGGTACTTAAACAGACTAGGAACGTGGAGAAGTGACCGTTCTATTTAAAAAATAAATTCCATGCTGCCGTGCATCTGTTCAGTAATAGATCAGAGATGACGTCAAAAATGTAGTAAGAGCAAAAAAGTGGCACACGAGCCGTTAGACGTCATCTGTGCGTCGACGTCTGTCCTCCAACGGATCATAAGTAAGAACTAATCAAATTGCGAGTATAAATCGACAAACTACATAGTAATGGATTGAAACTTGCACTAAATCTCGTACTCGTACCACTTTCGCCTTTTGAGACGATAGCATGACGAGGAAATTACTTCTTTTTTTGCATGAAATCTTCTCTTCACGATTACATATCAAAAGCAAAATTTGCATCTGTTCGCACGTAGAAATAAATTACCTTTCCGCCTTTCAGCAAGCAGTAGGGAGGTTGGGCGGAGCGGGGAACAGAGTGGGGGAGGGGCATCCCAGTAACGCTAACCCTTGTTGCAATTTATTTTCTGTCTTCCTCTTCCCAGCAAGATAGATGGTTTGGTGGGTGACTACCTCTCTTTACAACAAGCTGCAAATAAAATCCCAGACTGCAGTTACAGCCTAGCTGGGCCAAACTTCTACAACTTTGGCTACGGCTTCGCATTTCCAAAAGGATCGCCATGGGCGGAAGAGGCAACTCTATCAGTGTTGAAAAACCAAGAGAATGGCAGCATACAAGCCATCCTGGATTACTGGTTCAATAAAAAGGAGTGCAGCCAGCCCGTTGAAGAGCTTGGTGCTGAGAAATTCATTGGCTTGTTTTTGCTCTTGGTCGGGGTGATCGCTTTCTCCATTATGGCGCTTATTTCGGAGATGCTCATCATCTTTGTTTTGGTCAAATTCGGAAGGCGCTTGGGCCCGATGGGAAAATTCATGAAGAGGATGATCTTCAGCGTGCGGAAAGGCGAGGAAAATGACATTCACATCAAGTGGCTGCAGCTTTATAGACATCACAAAAGCATGAGACCGAGCGAGGCTGAGTTCGCGGCAGCACAAGACACATCTTTACGAAGGGCGAGCTTTTGTAACTTGAGCTTTGAATTTGGAAGCGACATGCTAAGCAGAGATGAACATTCATTGTATCTAAGAAGATGCAGATTAGTGGATGTTGATGGAGTAAACAGTGAAATCCAAACTGCAGAGCTTTCGGAGCGGCCAAAAAACCTTGCCCCCAAGAGAACAGAGAACGTATCACTTTAATTATATTAATTCAAATTTAAAGCGTAACAAGTTTGTATAAAGCATAACAAGTTTATACTACTCAACTTTACGTTCGTGGTAAATAACTACAAGTTAAATGAGCTGTCTACATACTCGTTGCCACGTAATTCAGATCACGTGATGATTCATTTGAGAGAAAACAATCGCGCAATTGGCCACACGCATCTGATTGCACGCGAGTATGTGCAAACGAGACCATTGTAACCTCCCAAATGAATCATCACACGAGCTTAAGGATGGCAACAAGGATGCAAACACGTTAGCCAAATCAATCAATGGAAATCGTTTTACTCTGTACAGCACGCCAGTTTTATAATAAACGCGTTTTTCTTTGGAATCCTCGCTCTCCTTCCTTAGTATGGGACGAGCAGCTTCGAATAATAGCTACCCTTCGGGACAGGATATGATCTTCACTCAAAATGCTGATAAAATATGATGTGAAAATCCTCCACAAATAACAAAACGGTCAGTGTTAAACGCAGACCGCGGACTGCAGACCAGGGGTAAAATGTAGACTGCAAACTGAAGACCTTTTCATTGAATCGTGTCACTATTTCCATCGTTAAGACCTAACCGTCAACAGGCTAACCAGTGCGTTATTTAGGCTGACGTGAGTGATGATCAGGCCAACCTGAGTGATATTCAGTCTAACCTGAGTAATATTTAGGTTAACCTGAGTGCTATTCAGGCCAACCTAAGTGATATTCAGTCTGACCAGAGTAATATTCAGGCTAACCTGTGTGATATCCAGTCTAACCGGAGTAATATTTAGGTTAACCTGAGAGATGTTCAGGCTAACCGGAGTGATAATCAGTCTTACCGAAGCGTTACTCAGATTAACCGGAGGGGAGATTTTCACCGCGATCAGCCTGAATAACCCTGTTTACGATTAGCACTCGATAATGGAAATGAACTTAAAAGGTCTGCGGTCCGCAGTCTGCAGTCTGCATTATACCCTTGGCCTGCAGTCTGAATTTCACCCTTAATCTGCATATTACCCTCGGTCTGAAGTCTGCAGTCGCTTACCGTCACTATCACTTTCACAAATTTCAATAGACTGATCATTTTTTATTGACCTCTTGGCTTACTTTACAAACTGATCCTGGGTTTTTACACTTCTCGTGCATATTAATAAATACCTCGATTTAAAGATACAGTTGCATCACATAAAAAAAGGAAGAGGAAACTGCTAAATCCTGACAGCTTGCCGAGAGGAAACAGGCCGGTTAAAATAACTTAAAATTTGAGATGTATACAAAGTTTGATGTTTGACAATTTGTGACAAAAGCTATTCCTTTTTAAGTTCCACTAAAGTTGGAAGATATAAACGATGGTAAAGTACATGTTCAATCACACAATACTGACAACAACGCAGTTAATGTAAGACGCGAGAGTGATATTTCACTCTCCCACACGATAAGTCTCCTAACTGACTTTCGCACATCTTAAGGAGGTGATTTTTTTTTTCTTTTCTTCCCTCGGTAAAAAAAAAAAGCAAGAAAAAAAAAAAAAAAAAAAAAAGAGGGGGCCCAGAATTGATAAGCACTAAATAACTAATTTCAACCTTGTTCTCGAAAAAGTCGCTGGTCGAGTAGTTTTGTAAGATTTCTCAAAATTGAAAGACGAACTTTTAAATTCAATAGCGGTGCTAGTTTATGCAACTTCTACAGCAACTAAGAACGTATAAATTTACATCTAGAATTGTTTTGAAAAGCCGCTGCCTTAAAAGGTTGTAGTTAAGTCATGAAACCTTATAACCAGCTGTGGAAGGGTCATTAAGCTCTTGCTTTTAACGCCATTTGACGCACTAATTATTAGTAAAAAAGATCATTTTAATTCCAAAGTGCTCTAATACATTAAAAGCTTTTAATTTTACCAGACGCGTTGGTTAATCGACCACTGGCTTTAATTTCAACACGGCTGGAGTTTGTATACTGTAAATTTTAACCCCGCAGGAAGTTAAAAACAGAAAACGTAGAGCATTTCCCAAAGTGACTTCAGATGGACCTCTCTGGGTAGGGAAGTTATACTGCAGAAAGGTAGGGGACATATTTTATTGCCTTTGAAATAAAGTATTCAAAGGAAAAAAACAGTGTCAAAGTCGGACAAGTGAAATTTATTACTTTAATAATTTTTTTTCACGAGCAGGTGAAATACTGAATCAGACAGTCAGAACAAATGTGTTTCTTGCTCCCTTCATTTTATAGTCGTATTGCTACATAGTGGCACGATCGATCTTAAAGCTCTGTAGAATACCTAGAGATTTACTCTAGTTTGACTTTTACGGCTTTTGTCTGCACACTGTAATTCATGTGATTTCAGCTCTGAGTATTTCCAGTTTCCAGTTTCCAGTGCCCGAACGTCGGCGACAACGTTGAATTTGAACAGAGAAATGAGGGATTTGATCAGCTGCTGGAACTTCAGTTACCACGCACATCCGTTCTCATCTATCCATTAGAAAACGAGTGAATTTTTTTTAGTTGACGGCTCAACAATTTGACTACTTCTTAGCTATAAGGAACATTTCAATCAGATCCTCCAAAACAAGATCCCATCTCTTACTTGAAGAGGCAAACCCCAGTCCGCGGCAAGGTTAGGCTTTAAAAAGTTCCAAACTTGATGGCAGTTAGAAGAAGCTAGAAAGGTCGACAATGTCATCCCTGATTATTGAAAGTTATATTTTTTTCTAATTTCCATAGTTATTATATTCTAAGGCGCCACCAAATATTCAAATAAACTGGATAAAAAAAGGCGGATTCTACAGAGCAAGACAGCACAAGTATTACTTCAGAAGCAAAGTACAGGGAAACTAAAAAGGAAGTGGATTACAGTTGAAATCAAATTTGATTTGGTGATAGAGTACCAAGGGAAAATCAAAATTGACATTTGGGTGAAATTTTGCATTTTTTAAAATCTTTCTTTTTTTTTCTTCTTTTAGTTCATATTTCTTTGTGTTCACTCCTTTTGGCGTTTGTTTGCATGTTTGTTTTTCTAGTGAGATAACAAAGTAACCCACCTACACGGCCTGTCGAGCTTTTTCCATCATTGGTGATCATTCAACTGTTAAACTTTCAGATAGGCTTTGGCGATGAATGTGTCTTTCTATTTATTCATTGAAGTACTTTCATGAGTTTTTGCTGCTTATTGTTAAGTCTGTGGTTGAGTACATCGCTTGCATAAATGTAATCATTTATATAGACGCTGAGGCAAAGTATTACTTCCCGATTTGGAATAATCTCTATTCTGTGTGAGGTATTATGCCGTTCAAATGATTGAGCATACAGTAATTGTGTGAACCAGGTGGTAACCACAACTATACAGTACAAGATGTTTATAACCTTTTAACTTTTTCAGTTAAAAGCCTATTTTGCTATAATATTGAAATGAAAGCTGTTGAGCAATACTTTCTTGTGTTACTGTTTACGATGCTGTTTTAGGTTAAAACTTTCATTCTATCAATAAAACTCTAGCGTGTGACCATTCAAATGAGTCAACCGATCAATGCTTTTATTTGTGCGGTTTGCTGTTGAGTTTCAAGTACAAAAAAACCATAAACAAATTGCATTTGTTCCTGTTAATTTTAACCTTATGGGCGGCCCTCGTCTACTCAAAGGAGTGAAAAGGTTCTTTTCGTCGTCTGCTTTATGAACAAATTATAGAAAAAGTGTTTTTTGTTAAAATGATTATAGAGGCCGAACATGACAGCCTAGAAAGAGGGTAGTGCAACTTGTGCCGTGTTTTCACGAGAGAGGTTTACTACGGTTACTGCTTACCAAGGTTTCGTAACTAAACCGCAGTTATTAGAGAAGCTGTTTACACGAAACTAATCAACTAAAGTAGGCTGCATACAACGGACGGTTTTAGGTTTTCTCGGCGGAAAGCAAGTGCTGCAATGTTGCTCAGAAACTATTGGAAAATTATAAAATTCGACTTCACTCCAATGCCGAACGTAGGTCGTTGTCAATTTGCTTGCGGTGATGTCGAACCAAACTCTCCTTAAATGTAGAGCTTTGTAGATGAATAGTGGAAAGAAAATTTTGATATCTCGCTGAGCCTCTTCCGGCAAAAAACCTGAAACGGCATCTGCCACGGAGCCCGGGCTACGTAAATGTTTACCTGTAGTTCTTCTTATTCGGGGCCGCTTTAAATTTTAACATTTGCTTTTCTTCTTCGTAGACCTCATTTACGATTTTTTTCTCTCTATTTGTGGTAGGTCTTCTCCTAATTGCGTCTGCCTGTACACTGCTACTAAGTTACTGAACTACTAACAGAAAGGAAATGCTTACGGCACTTGACGATGAACGGGAAACAGCAGTTCGGGATTCTTTGCCTAAACATGAGTTTATTTAGCTTTTTTTGCCCGTTGACTTGAAACCTACTTACATTAGAAGGAATCTTTGTCTATTTTTCTCTTCGTTACGCGCTGCACGCGTGAACACTTGTTGTTAAGGTATCAGTATAACCCATTTGACCATCCGCGCGCGGTCCGCTCTAGCGTTCGTGGCTTCAACAAAAACCCATATAAACCGTATATTTACTGGAAGCTTAATAACTACAGATTATGACCTGACCTGTTTAAAACGGTAAAAATTTACCGTGTTTCGAAAATGTGAATATATTTACAAA